CCGTACAATAATTAAACCAAAATATGTTTCTGGAATTCGGTTTTAGTGTTTAACACTTGATCGAGTAGACAGTGTCTACAGTGTGCTAATAATATTCTCGATATGTATTGTTACAATTAAGTATTTTAATAAAATGACCGTAATATTAATATGGCAAGTTAAGTTTAATACAGCACTAAATCTAATTACTAATTATTATGGGTACTCGCGATTGTTCTGATCAAATCGACGAAGAAAACTAACGAAAAGTACCTATAAATTCTGTTTAGTAATACAATATTTTTGAGTGCTTAAATGTTTGTAAAATCCAAATCGACTTGTTCGCTGACGTAAAAAAAAACGACCGAAGAAAATGTGAAGATTTTAGTGAAAAGGAAAAATAATAATCACGCTCCAACTACGTAATATTTCCGACAACACTAAAAAAAAATACTCTTAAAAATAATCTCAAGCTATCGAATAATATCGTAAATACAGTTATTACTGAAAACACGTTAAATTATTGGTAAGCATTGGAAATGTTTTTACGATTGTATGCAATGATTTTTTACAAATTTTTTTATCGACTCGCGCGAACCTTGTGGTGAAAATGTGGAGGTTCATTATCATACAATATAATATTATTATTGTTATAATCGAATCGCATAACAATATTGTTATACCGTCGTATACTGCAATTACTATTGTTCCTAGCATAGATAGGTAGATAGAGGTAGGCGCCTAGATATAGTTTTCCGTCCCTACGCGCGTACATAAGTGGTTGTAAATCATTTATCCGCTCTAAATCCTTCGTGATAGTTTTCCTCGCTTAGTTAGATAAAATACTATGGGAAATCCCATCCGATCGGCATATAAATCTTTCCGTACTGATTTCCAAGCATTATATATCTGCCCGCCCTTGGAATCCACATGTGATGGATTTATCGGTTTAGCGGCGGTTTTAATAGGAATAACGAAGCCGTATAATAGCCGACTGAGCAATAATTTCCGACGATTTACATTCCAATACGGTAATATCAAATCTATTTCGGGTACACCGCACCCCTAACGCAATGTCTTACAACTTTCGTCTACGACAGTTCAATTAAATATTGTAGGTAGATAAAATAACAGACTATAGGTAGTATACTGAATACACAACAATTTTACGTTTACAAGATATTAATTTTTCTGCTATCGGGCGGTCCGCAATTCGTGTATAGGTACAATTTTTAAAACTATAATATTGTGCAAACCAAAAAGCTGAATAGTTTTTTGATCAAAAAATAGTGCGAGAACACGAAGCTTATTGGTTTAACGCAATCTAATAATTCAGATAAACTTATGGACACCAACAGTATAATATTATAATACGAATAAATTTATCTATACTATAATATAATATGGTAAGTACCTACCTATATTATCTTTACTGTCGTTACTGTGAACGGAGAGATAAAAATATGTATACTTGGCAGAAACCCAAGTAATAACAATAATAATAAAAGCTTGACCCATATTCTATATTAACAATAATATAACTACGAGTCGTAGACTCGTAGATTTTAAGTACCTAGGAGGTATTTTAATATTAAATGTATCGCACAAATATTATATTCTGCATGATTTTCTTACGCTTATCGTTTTTAATTGAAAAAAAAAATACAAATTAAACCTTTTGCATTGTGTATCTACTTATTTTTATGTGTATTAAAGGAAAACCTATAAATTATTATAATTTCGTAATGTTAAACAATAGTTTTTATATCTGAGAGTACATACCCGTTTTCAGAACAGCTTTGACTGTGGTTGGCTATTGCCTATTAATTTTTTTTTGCATTTCTTGAAAAACTCTGAAAATGTGATATTATGATATTATGATAGTATGATATGATATAACAGTATAATAATAACCATAACTTTATTTAACAAAACGCAAAATAAATCTTAACTACATGACTTAAAATTTAAAAAAAAACCACTGTCAAATGCTGATTAAAACAAATCCAACTAAACCCGCATATTATTATAATATTTAATTTCGAAGATTATTATTTTCGATGAATCAAAATATAGCAATTTACCGGATATAGATTAAAAACCTTTTTTTTGCTCGTAATAATCATGATCATCAATTTAGTTTTTTGCTACTCGTATATATTTTTTCTGTGTGGGTCTTTTGTATAAGCACGAGTGATGGCTGCACTTCTCCACGATATCAGCGACCTTACATTAACTCGATAATATGATGAACAGATATGTAAACAATTTTAAGAAACTGCAGAAAGCAAATTAACATCGACGTTCTTTTGTTGGCAATTATATCCCATCATTCGCACTATCGTATTGTATATTACTAAAATAGTAGTAGTGTACGGACGGTCACCCCCCTCGGGATTAATCCTCCACTGTTGACGCCACTCATTCGTACACAAGATTTTGCTGAATTAATTAACGAGATACCGAGGTATCATTAAATAATCGAATCAACCGGTGAAATTTTAGTTGCCTGACAAACTACTAAAAATAATATTATGTTATTCAACTTTTGTTAGTTGCTGTATAAACTAAATTTAACAAAAACATCCTAGTTAATGTTCACAGATCTACTAATCTATTGAAAAATATCGACAAAAATCCTTCGTATAAATAAAATTATATTTTGTTATGAAAATATAATAGTATAATATTATTATCCAAGTTAAATAAAACACACAGAACCATGTCTTCTCACTTTGTAAAAATTTGAAAATATAATAATCACACAAAGTTGTATATCTCAGACCTCAGTACATAGACGCCATTGAGGAAACCATGGAAAATCCATGGCATGTTCAAGTATTGCCATCTAATGACTTACATCGTTAGTTGTAGTAATACTGTAATAGAAATTCGTTTCCTCCAAGATATAATGCAGAGACGGTTCCAGGGTGGGGCCTAGAGTGCCTACTACAGGATACTATTATAATATAATATTGATTATAAGTATTATAAATACTGTATTCATAATCAATGTATATTGTAATGTTTGGTTGCCCCTCGCTACCCTAGAACTGTACACTGGACCCGTGCCTGAGATATTAGCAGTGGCGACGAAAAAGTATTATAATACATGGATTAAAGCATCGTCCTCAAGTATGACACTAGAAAAAGTACTTTGAACAGCTTCAGTGAGAGTTCGTCGAAGAATCGATCGTAGTTTGACAATTTTTGTTGACGATTTTGCCTCGTATGGATTTTGAGGCGTTCCTTATACACCCACCACCAGATTTATATTGAAGTCGTCCGAGAAGTAGACAGTTTTGAAGGGAAAAACGGTGGCTGCCGGTTTTCAATAATAATAATAATCATAATATGGCTTCGAGCGAGAGTTATTTATATTTTCGCTGACTTGCTTCTGCTACACGATTCACCGAGGACACCATAAAACAAAGCTGCGTAGCAGTTCAAGATGAGTTTACGACAATAAAGTAAAACAGTGGAGATCGCCACGTCATCATAATACTATATGGTAACGATGGAACTGTTTGGGATTCTTTTAACACCGACCTAACTCGTGTTTGGCCAATATGTGACACGCCCTCACTAAAATACTTGCCAGTCATCATCATAGCTATAAGATAAAATAAAACTCAGATCTCTCACTTAAGCCTTAACCATCATCTGTATACCATTTTGTGGTCGGTAAATAATTACTTCTGGTGTGATAGTTTGTACTTTTCAAAAAAAAAAACAATTTGTATCGCGATGTCCAGGGATAAAATAATATTCGATTTTAATAGTAGGTTTCTTGCCTGCTGATAACCTTAGTTTTCGTATTATATACACTGTTTCTGTCCTTATAATGAGAAATATATAAAAAATCTACTATGGAAAAGGAGAAAATATAGACGTCTAGGTAAATATTAAAGTATTTATCGGATATTAAATATTGTATAACAGATGGCAATAGTTACAGTGTTTTACATTTTCTTATAGAATTGTATAACGTTTTGTATGTTGGACTATATTAAATTAAAAAGATACGTGGTGCAATTATTTCTTTAAAATGTAGTAGTAACTTTTTTATTTTTATATTTTTCTCCGAGTTAATCGAGGGACGGAGGAGGAACCACGTTAGCATTACTTCTCTTCCGGCCCCCATCGTTTATTGACATAAAAAAAAACAATATAGTTAGACATAAACGGCATCGGGCCTAAACCCCCGTGACCGGGCAGACTTACCCCAGCTGGTAAGTATGTCTGCCAGGGAGCACGTTTCTCGGGGGTCTTACAACAAAGTTAAAAAAAATAAATATACAAGAATGCATAAGGCAAAGACTTGCTAGGTTGGAGGTTCATTGGGAACTCCTCTTACAGTGTGATGAGTGTGGGCTTTCTCCTTCCGGCTGCTTGCCTTGCCTTTTCTTCCGTTTCCTTGAGGGAGAGGTTATTTTCCATCATTTTGTACAACAGCCTGAAAGATTCCGCCGCTTTGGCCAGCATTGTGGTCTTCTCCTCTGGATCCTCGAGAGGAGGTTTAAATCAGGTCCGCACCGGAAGTCGGGGAGGTCGTCTACGGTAGGCTGGTGGCCAAGATGGGCACCAAGCTCGTCATGGAGGCTGCTACAGTTGGGGCATACAAATATCGTGTGCTCTGCCGAGTCATTACGGGCAGTGCCAGTATGCTGCGTTGTCAGCTCTTGCCATTATAGACAAGTATTGTTCGAAGCAGCCGTGGTTTGACAATGCCCGAGTCATATGAAATTACAAATGCACTATTGGCACGGTCCAACAACTGTCTCTCGACTACCAGGGTCATTAGCTTGCGTTTCCATTAGCAGGGACCCCTTACATTTGGCATTAGCCTTGCCAAGGCTGCTGCCAAACGGGATGCTTTTTTGGTGACCATGTCGATACGTGGCCTCGAATGTTCTCCGCCGGTCCAGAATAACCCCGAGGTACCTCAGATTTTTTAAGATCGTTATTTGGTGTCCGCCGATCACCAGGATGAACGAGCGTCTGTTGGTGAGGAGAACTGCCTAGCTCTTGTGATGGGTGAGCTGTAGGCCCTTCTGCGTCATCCATGCGTCGATAGCTTCCAGGGTGGAGTTGAGTGCCTCCTCAAGCAGTTGTCCGATCCTGGCTATGCCCACTATGTCTAAGCCGTCTGCGAAGTCCACCCGATGGACACCTGGTGGGACTTGCATCTCCAATAGCGAGCCGTAAGACACGTTCCATAGGGCGGGACCAAGGACCAACCCCTGTGGGACACCACATGTCAGGGGAATGGAGGACATCTCTTCCCCTGTCAGCAGTGTTCTATCTGAAAGCCATGACCGCAGCATTTCGACTAGGTACTCAGGGGTGTTCTTCGACCTCAGGGCCTCGTCGATAACGGGTCATCTAAGGGTATTAAATGCATTCTTTACATCCAACGTTACTAGAATGCACACTTCCTTTTGACCGGGTCTGGTATCAGTCTAGGCGGCTAGCCCGAGGACAATGTAGTAGTACCTATAAGTATTTAAACTATTATATCTATAAATTCAAAAATTACGAATTTCCAAAATGCCACGGTTTACTGCGCCTTAGACAGATCAATACAATAATATATTGCATGTTTTTATGTGTGATTACCACGTCCCCTTAGGTGAAATCCTAACAAACAATATGCTAATCATGACCTAAATGCATTAACAATAATAATATTATACGTTTAATGTTTTATGGACAAAATACTATTAATATTTAATACAACTAAACATTCATCCTAAAAATAGGTCAACTATAATAATAGTGTCGTCATTGTGTCGAGGAGGGATATGTTTTTACGGCGGCCACTTTTTCAACCTGTCGTGGTCCACCAGTTGCCGATCGATCACACATTCGCGAGTCCTCAGGGTTATTAATGTACAAATTGCACACGTAACATTAAACGAGCTTGTGTACACACCGTGTGAGCAACACGAAATGACATTAGTGGATAACCTACATTAAACGATATCGTTAACTTTTCGGCCCAAGACACACAATAACCCGTTTGAATCGTCACTCTGGAGACAGCGGAAAGCCACATTGCACACTAACTCACACGCACACGCAATATGTATATTATATAGTATTATATACAACTTTAACAATAATTCGTAATTACACTTGGTGAAAATCAGTGTCCGCGAAGTTTTCTCCTCTGACATGTTGAATTAATAACCCGGAGTGTACCGAAATATATATAAGTTTGTGTCGAAAAAAACTTTAGCAATTTGTAGTAAAATTCTGAGTATAAATAATGATGCACGGTGAGTACTCTCGCTTTATTTTGTCATTAGTATACGCCCTGCCCCGGCGCCCGCTCATCACCAGAAATCGATTGTAAACTTATTTTTTAGGTTTTAGTGGTGCTACGCGTCATGTGTATACCTACAATACGAGTCTACGAATACGACTGCTACTACTACTAATACTAGGTACTAACACTCCAGCACTACTACGTACCGTACTAACAATAGTACATTAGCACTCGAACGTGCATAATATTATATACAGTAACAACATAACAAAAAATATTATGGTTTTCACGATTCATTGAATATTGCGCGAAACGTTATTACAAATTTCATGCAGTATACTTAAATAAATAACCTATAAAATAATATTAGATAATATACACAAGACCATATCGTTATATTATACTATATAGTACGTGGTACGAATAAAATAAACGGAACTTATGTATTTTCCAAGACGGTTGGCGCAAGGCGTCGTAGCCATAATATACTCGAAAGTTTTTGATTAAAATTTAAGTAACTCGGCTGTGCTTAATAAACGAACCCGTAATGGGTTGCCGCGGCGGAGTGTCGTTGCTTTAGGTGTGGGTTGTGGGGATCGAGCCGGGGGAGGGTCGAGATAAAAACTGTAAATCGTGTAAAATGAGTTCGCTTTGGACGAGGTCCGACGAGGGGTGTATTGTATATTATACGACGCGAACAATGTGAAGGGGGGGGGGCGGGGAGCGTAAGGAAGAAAAACAGAAACGCCGTGTTGTTTACGATGTATTTCGGTCAGTTAAAACTGTTAACGGGGTCGGTCGAAGGTAGGCAAGAAAAATATAAAAAAAATTTCTGTCGTCTCACACACCCGAAGCGCCCCGAGTCCTTCGAATATTGTAATTATATTATAGTAATATATATATATATATGTATATATCTTTATTGTCTATGAAACACTGCGATCGCTAACCCACAAGTTATATTATTATACAACTGTACAGGCAACCACCAAAGTGTGTGTGGACTTAGCGTCAGTTGTTTCAGCAACCGAATGATTGAGAATTTCACATCATCAACCATGGTTAAATCATATTTGTTATATTCTCCGAATGTTTTTGGTATTTTATAGAGATTAGACTAAAAAAATATGACATTTTACAATATAGATACCGTGTTACTACCAATTACCATTCTATGAAGACACGACGAGGATGGAATTTAGTTTCTTAGAAAAAAATTCATGATTTGGCTGGAAACCGATAACGACACGTCCTATTATTATCGTGACACATAATATTCGCAAAAGGCGAAGTGCAACAATGGTTTTTGGTAAAAAAAAAAAAAAAATAAAAAACGAATACGTCATAATATGCATTCTGCATTCACGTAATAATAATATTATAGCTGGTTTAAAAATATACGTAACACGTATGTGCAGTAAAGTGCTAAGTACAGAGAGAGGAGCTGATAGATGCAGGACAAACGTCAAATATAATTGTTTTAATTTTAAGTTTGTAAACAACACTGCAGCGTCGACGAAATGGCGTACGTACATGAAAGTCTTAAATACGCGTCAGCGCCGTTAAACTATTATTTATTATACAATATTGCATTCGTGTGTTGACTGGCAGGAGGCATGATTATTTGAAAATCGGCGTTCATTTTTTTTTATTATTACTATTATTATTTAAATTATTATTAACGAGGCAAAACGCGAGCGTTGATGGACGGGCACGCGGCGTCGTTTATAATTTTATATTGAATTTATATTTTAAGTGATAAAAATTATTTAGCACGAAACTAAAAGTTTGTTCGTACACATAAATAAATATAAACATAAACATCACGTACCTGCCACAGAGCAACAAACAAAAACTTGCGCTACGTAGGTATTCGGGTGTACGTGAAACTACATTTATTATTTTTATATTTTGTCCCCACGACTCGGTGGTTATAATATTTGGAGTTATTAAAACAATTATATTCATTCGAATTCGTTTCAAATATCATAATAAATTGTCTGCGGAATATTCAATAATAATTGTTTCTTTGAACATAATTATTTGTGAGTTTGCGGGGAGCCAATAAGGTTCGTAAATATCTCATATTACCTGCATACAATGATTACACGTCAAGTGTACCATAAAATATATGTTTTTAGGCATAACACAATAATTGGATGCTTGGAGAATAATAATTATTGTTTATAAGAATATTATATCGATAACGATTACGTAATCGATTTACATATTATGTAGTTAGTTCACTGGTGTTGTAAGCGATCTACTAAAATTTTTAAGTTCTTACAATTTGATGTGCTCACTGTTATAACAATACCCTTTATGTTATACGGGTCAAATTTATTGAACACAAAATGGAGTATATTATTAACATTGAATAAAGAAAAAAGCACTTCGAATGATTGTGGGGTATTACAAAATAAAAATGTCCTATACGTGTCAATTATGGAACTTCCCCTTTTCTTGGAAGACAGTTGCAAGACGAATGGTAGAGATCAATGAACCCATCAAAGGATTCAATTATTTATCATTTTATAAATTCTCTCATGATCATTTCACCTTTTTAGGTTAATAATTAATATACTAATATTGATAATAATATTTTATTTTAATAAACCTTTTTTTAGATTCTGAGCGGAGCGAGGAAGCTAGTGGTTCTACAATGGTAAATCTCAAAATCCCTGTTTGAACACCTTGGGTGTTATAGGTTGGACCTACCAGGTCTAATTATGAATTTAAATCATCCCGGGAACCAATCAAACACACACAAAAAAATTCATCAAAGTCAGTTAGGTCCAGCCATTTAGGAATGCACAAAGGACCCACTGAAAGACAAACATTAATTGTATATATTAAGAAGGAGAAGAAGATAATAATCATCATTGTCGTTTAATATAATTTATTATTATATTAAACGACAATAACGCTCAATAATACAATATTTTAGAATGTTAATAATATATTTGAGTTGGACACGACCAACATTATAAATAATTAAGTTATTCAATTTTACACAAAATGTTAATGGTCTATATGTTAACGTACAGCGTATACCTATGGCTTGTAACGTTGCCAAGATTTATTTCTCATATTAAACTACCAAATAAATATCTACAAAACTAAAATTATAAGTTTTCATAAAGTTTTATTTTGGTTTTATAATCAATATTTATAATATTTTATAATTTAAAGGATAGACATGAATAGAAATCAAAATATCTCAAATTTGAAATATAAATATTCATTCATAAACGTTTGAACTGGATAAACATCGATTAAAATGTACCTGTATGTTATAAAATACAAATGGCTCAATATTTTCAGAAATAACCCTCAGGGAAAAAGTGTACAGTTAGGGGATGATCTTTTGTAAACTTCCTGGAAACCAATTTAGCGTCCGCAACATGGAATATTGAACATTTTTTTAGAATAAACCAATTTCGTGGTAGACCAATGTTACCAACTGTAATATTGAAACTTTTAATATAAATAAAAATCACCCTTCTAGAAATTAATCACTTCAAACAAAGTTTTTTTTTTTATGAAACACCCACCTATTGAAATTTCACAGTTTTTTTAAATTTGAAGTTCCTATTTATTTATTTTATTTTTTATTTGTACAAACATAATTGGGAGCATATATATATGTAATGAATAATTGTAACTCAACAGTTTCGTAGAATGCTCATTATAGATACTGAAACACAGTATAACCGTAATGTATAAGGTAGTGTTTATTGAAAATAGAAATGTGTGTTATATGTAGGTACTTAGTGCACAAAAACTTACTAAAAAATTGTTTCAGTTCATTTAAAAAACAATCTAATAGGTTTACCTTTGCACACTGAATATTGATTAAAGGCCGTTTTCCATTTCAAAAAAGTTTAATTTATAAGAACGCGGGTGCCTATTTAATTATAAAATGCAGGATTTTTTAAATCATTTTTTCTTATATAATATATTATTATAATTAAACTGAAAGAGATAACTCATCTTAGATAAACGATAGTCATATTGAATACATTTAATTTAATAACAGTATTTAACATTTTTCAA